ATCACCATTATTATTTTCTAAATTGCTGTTAGTTCTACCTTGAACACAAATGTCTTAATAGAGTTCAAATCATTTAATTCATATTTTTTCACAGACATGAATTTTTTTGTGTTTCGCCCCATTTTACAGAAGAGGTTGGTTCCTGTAAAATATTTGACTTAAGAGATGCAGCACAGCTCATACTTTTGGAGTTTATTACACAGAGAGCAGTGTTCTGTTTCTCTGTAACACTACACACAGGATTACAGCACTCTGTGATATGTGATATGTCCTATGGCTGTTTTTATGGATAAAAATAATAAATACCTTGTTGCATTTGCACTTGAGATGCTTCCAGTGTGAACAATGGACATTCATGAGAAGCAGCAAAAAGTTCATTGGCCCTTCCAGTGTGTCCATGGGAGCAGGTGAAGCTCAGGTCACAGAGCTAAATCAGTTAAGGCCCACTGATACAAACAATAATGTCAAACAAACAAACCATTCAAAGGATTTTGACACGTTTATGGAAAAAAAAACAGACACAGTTTTTGTAAATATTTCAAATTTGCTATACCATATACTTTTGCTGCTGCTTAAGGTTGAAATGTGTCAGAGTCTAAAAATATACAGCCCAGACTGTACAATAACCTAGCATACCAGTGCACATTTACTGTCTGTGTTACGGTCTTGTCCGTTCTCGCAGGTTCACTTACATTGTTGTGTTTGTGGACGACACTATTATTTACATAGACACCTGCTCTGTTCTTGTTTTTGTCCATGGCTATGGAGCTACAACGGTCGGGCGTCTTGATGGCTGTTGTTTCACTCTCAGTCCTTGGCTGGTTGTCTGTTGTTTCTCTCCATACTAGCTGGTTTAATGAGTAGAAAAGTCGGACAGGTCCAAACACCCAGTGTGCCAGATGGTGGTGCTCTACCAGTGCATAGCTGGATGCCAGCACTCCATCAACAAACATTGTACCAGCTTCTGTCAAAGGAGCATAAACGCCCACGCTCTCTTCCACTGCAATAGAGATGATCTTAGACGGATGTACACTGCCCCCTGCTGTGTGGATGAGAACACAGTTACCTAGTTTAGCTCTATTAGCGAACTGAGCCTGGTACTGACTTCTGTCAGGTCTGCAATGGCTGGATAAAAAGACTAAGTGATATGAAGTGAGAACCAGTCGATGGCCATCTTCAGTCTCCAGAGACAGAAAAGTCGACCATCTTTTTTGGTCCTGGTGCAGAAACAGGATAACTGGGCTGAACACGACTTGGCCTGTTCCTGATAGGGCCATGACTCTGTCTCCAGGAGCCAGTGAGGACAACCTCTTCTGCCCACCTCCAGCTACAGTCACCGAGGCCCAGCCTGGAAAACAGCCACCTTTCTCCACCGCAACGGAGTGATCTGCAGGAAGGTCAGCAAAAACAGCCATGATGACGATGCAAAATGTTCTTCCTTTTTCTGGTCTAAAATATCCTGATACACAATACAGTGATGTGAGGACATATGGCAACTTTCACAACTTCTTTAAAAGCTCACTGTTGAAACTCACCAGCCTTCACTGAACAGTGGATGTGGTATTTGGACTCATAGTGGACCCAGTCAAAGCCAGCCTGCACAGCCAGCTGAGCGAGGAGTCCGTACTTCTTCGTTTCTCTGTCGTCGGTGGTTATATCTACAGCGCGACCTTCGTAGTGCAGGGATCCAGGAGGATGGTGACCATCTTCATCCCAGGCCTCCGTCACACGGAGACGGACTCCTGGCCATTGATTCATCACTGCAATGGCCAACCGGTTCAAACAGTCCTTACATCGCTGGATAGAAGAGAAACAAAGAGGGGTGTGCATTTGAAATACATTTATTAATTATTAATTATTATTATTATTTTATTACTCTCCCAGTATTTGTACATGGAATGCTTTAATGGCACCAGCTCTAACCACTGTGTGACTGCAATTTCCAGTAATTACTTTAAAATTGATGAGCAATTATTAACCTAATATAAAATTGTCTAGGCATTAAGATTTATTATATAAAATAACCTTGTGCTGCCTTATGCCCTAATTGAACAACGATTGAAAAACAACAACAACAACACAAACTACACCTATAGGGCATGAACAACATGAACATGAACAACCATACACAGGCCCAGTGTCCTTCAGACTGTTGCCGTGTGGCAGCTGGAGCCAACCCCAGTTCACCAGTCTATTGCAGAAACACATACGGGGACAAACAACTATTTCACACTCAAATTCATAGCTATGCCTGAATATGCTATAGCCAGAGACTCCAATTCTGGGGGTAATAATAATAATGTAATAATATTGGGGGATTTTTTTGTAATTAAATATATGTATTTGTCATTTTTTAATTACCTTTCTATGAACCTATAACTTCAAATGTCAAGGTAAGGTCTACGTTGTTTAAACTGGATTAGCGGTGAAATATTTTTCAATGTATTTATTGATTTTAATTAATATTTTAATAACTTAGCAAGCAGTGACAGCAGTGTGCGGTTGGGACAGATGTTTTTCTACTCAGGAAAGAAATGACAGAAGTGACTTGGGATCATTCATTAACAGAGGGAACGGCACCCAGGAAGTCAAGAGGTGGGTACAGTGTGTGACTCCTGTACAGATCAGTACACAGACACTGTGGAGAAATTGGAGCCAGCATTTTTATGATCTGTCTTCCAGCACATGATGATGTTTGTCTGCTGACATTATCGCACCGTTCCACCTCCTCCGCTTGCAAATGCATCTCTCAACCTTGTTCAAACAGTACAAGAACACAGCTACAGTAGCCAGTTTGCCACATTCCTGGCCTTTCAGACAGGGTGACAGAATAATCAGGACCATTCTCTGACTCCTCAGATATTTCCAGGCATGAGTTTCTGCTTTTCACCCCTGAGACATTTGATCAGAAATGGGCACAGTGACTCCTCACACCCCC